ATATATATATATATATATCTTGGACTTGGACTCGTGTCGGGTCGGACCTAAAATAAATATATATCTACAATTAAAATCTGTTTTAAACAGATGCGTCTGTTTGTGAAAGAACATATCTTTTTGAAAAGGTACGATGGTTGCTCTATAAATAGAAGTTCTTCGAATAAAGTGGATATAGAAAAATATGCAAGTATATTCTTGGCTTGTTGTATCCCGAAGAAGATTGTTTTTATTTTTCCAATTTGTATACAAGCAATATCTTCTTTAAGGAAAGTCGTTCTCACTCGTTTTCAATTATTATTTTTTCTAACATGAAGTACTACTAGTTAAGATGCATATTCTACCACAAAGATAGGGCTTGAGAAAAACAAGGTTCGACAAAGAACGAAGCAATCAAATATTAGACCGGCTTCAGGTCTGGAGGGACAAACCTGATATGAAATTTGGAGCACGTAACTCCAAAAGCTTGCTCGTTGTGGTACTGTGTCTTCATTGTAATATTGGCCTTGCAGTTTGAACATACTCTTGTTGGTCTTTGCCTTGTTGTCAATCTCATGATCAGCAGTGTCGCCAGGACGTGGAGCTAATTTGTTTGAGTAGTAGCGTACACATCCATATGCAGATATGATGGTTCCAATCTACATTTAAATAATTAGTTGCAGAGGGAGACAAATTAAAAAAGACAATGCAGCTAAAAGTGCTCATCACACGAAGCAGAGAGCTCTTGACTTAGTTATTCTGAAAATTGATACAATTAATTAAGAGGTCTCAGACCAATATATAACTGGTGATGGAAATAATCATTGCTTAATTGTCGATATTTTACTTACTGCAAAATAGACGATTAGCAACGTAAAAGTCCACCTACATTCAAATTTTTGGAAATCATTAGATTTCAGACTGACTAATTAGTAAAACACAAATACGGTTCAAAGATATACACACGTAAAGAACTTACTCGGTGTAATAGACAAAGATGGAGTAGTTGTAAAGGAGGACATCCCAGGTTAAAAATACGCAGAGAACAACTAAAGATACAAAACGTGTAGCCAAGAGCCATACAGGGTGAATCCCACGCCAACAACTACTTGAAAAACTCCCAATTTCCACTGCTGATGGCGACAACGACGACTGATCGCAGCCTTGCAGGGGCAAAAGGATCTCATGACGACTAATAATGTTGTGGTCGTCAATAAGTGTTTGGTAACGCTGTTGCTTAATTTTGCAGCAGCAGAGCACGTAAAGGGCGCCAAACATGGCGATGCCTACTATCCCGAAACAAATAAAATCATACCACTGTATCAAAATTCCTGCCATAGCTAGTTGCAGATCGATATGCTAGCCTAGCTACCCTGGGAATTTTGGCGTGAGCTCTGCAGCCACCTAATTATATCTAGAGTCATCGCTAAATTTAACATATATTTAAGTTGCTAATAAGGGAGAAGGAAGACTATCTGGTGGTACAATAGCATGTTGTTCTTGTTTCATGTAGCTTCATACGACTGGTAGCTTTGACCGTTTGACAGCAGAACTTTAGCTTGCTTTAGTTCTCTTTTCTTTAATAAACCGATCAATTTTCCTTTTCTTGTTACTTTTTTTCCAGACTAAAAGCTAGTATAAATTGATTTATTACTCTATAATCTTTTTATGGTATGTTATGATGCTATGACGTTGAACAAAGTCGTAAAGCCCAAGAGAAAGAGGAGACTGTGCTGCAACAGCATTTGTGTGCGCACCTACGATATTGAGGAGTACAAGGGAAAGACAAGTAAGAATTAAGAAGAAAAACTAAGGTCTCGTCAAAAGAATGAGAGTAAGGGAAAGTTAATTTATGACGATGTGTATGTTGAATGGAGCACAACTTAAATGCTTCAATGGTGAATTTTACGAATTGAAAATTAGTTGTTATATACAGCTAATAAAATGAGATACATGTTCCATACAACAAAGAGCACCAAACCGAGCCCATTCTCTTTGCCAACCAATTATATGTACAGAAAACCCACCCAAAAACAGATGGAAGAAAGGAAAAACATCCACAAAGGTTGGCTTTTATCCCTGCAGAATCATCTTAACTCAACGGCTTCCACTGTTGTCCAACCAACTCTGTAAGCTGCACAAGGCTTCTGCAGAGAAGCTGCAGCATCTTAATCGCCTCTGTCGTGACTGTGATGGTTCAGAATGATCAACGGAAGTAAAGCAAACAATTACCACAGTAAGATTGTCGAAAGTATTGAGCCGCAGGGCCTCCATGACAAGATCCTTGGCACACTGTTCAGGATCATCATGCCGTCTCAGACCACGACGTACCAGATTAACCGCTTGTTGACTTGACATAACATCCCAGATCCCATCACAACCAATTATAAGGAATTCATCATCCTCGCTCAAGATAATCTGTCGGAATTCAGGCTCTGCTATCAGAGGAGAGGCAGAGCCACGAGGCAGCTTCATGTCCCAGTCCCCTAAGGCCCTAGTCACTGATAGGACACCATTGAGATAGCCATCGTCAATAAATCCGCCCAACTCTTCGACACGCCTTCTCTCCGATGCATAATTCGGTCTATGGTCTTGAGACATATTAATCGCCTCTCCCTTATGGCAAAGAACTGCTCGGCAGTCTCCCACATTTGCCACCATTAGAAGCCTAGAAGAGGACAGAGTAGCAGTTTAGTTAACAAGAATACAGTAAGAAAGCGCAGTTTCCAAAAATTTCATAGAACAGAATCAAATCCTATGGTTCGATACTTGGCAAAGCAATTCTGCGGAACTCAAAAATAAAGACAGGTTGACTCTCATCCATCAAACAGCATCCTCGACTAAGGAATGAATAACTTATATTACCCGCTTAAAGAACTGAACACCATATGATGCGGCTAGAGTGACAAGAAATAAGATTGAGAACATAATAGGGCTACAAGTGAGACCCAGAGGCAATCATGAACATGACAATTTTTGTACAAAAGGAGAAGCATTTACGTGCGAATACATAATATTAAAAATTTACCTTCCCAATACCAGAGCTGTCAATGCAGTAGTTCCAGAGGAACTACACACATTACACTCATCAGCCAAAGCAAGGTCAGCAAGAAGAAACCCTTCTCTTAGAGAGTTTTCCACCTCTTTTAAAAATGCGTCATCAACTTCTGATGTCTGAGGGAAATTGGCGTCCTCAAAAAGGAGTCTGAGGACATGTTTTCTCACATAAGCTGCTGCCTCAGGTCCTCCATGACCATCAAATACCTACAAGATGGTGAACACGAATCAGTTAGACAAGCTCCCCAATGACCAACGTGTAATGTTCCAGAAGTGAAAATTACCCCATAGAAGGCACAAGGCTGAGGAAACCTGACTAGGGAGCCTAGATGTTCGGAAAGATCATCTATCCTTATATGCTCATCTTCCATGAACCTCCGTGGACCAATATCTGCAAAACTACCTGAACGAATGCTAGGAACAAACTGCAAAGTTGTCGCATCTGGGGATTTAAAATCCTGAAAGAAAGAATTGATAGAGACACATCATCTCACAAACGACAAAAGAAGGTTTAATACCGAGCACTAATTATAATGTACATATTTAGCACAAATATTGTTGAACATTGAGAAAAGGTACATCAGCTGAATACACTTAACTTTAAAGGAAGCTCCACAAGTGGAGGGATTCCTCTCTTCCACTCAAAAAGAATAAAATATTAACTGGTCATAACAGGCTTCACTCTGCACATGATGTGGGCAACTTGACTGTTCGTCCAAGAGGGATGTGGCTGAACAGTATAGCAACACAATTAACCAGAACACGGACCTCTAGGCTAACGCTAGTGTGGATTCTTGTCATTATGAAAATCAAGCTTGGTCCTAAAATACTTCAATCTTGCAATGTCTCTGATATGTTTCAAAGTATATTAACCTTGAGAAGAGCTCAAAATGACATGGCATGGTTCATATGCAAAGGTAAATATGGAACAGAAAGATGAACACCATAGGAGAAGAGACCTAATCCATCTTCCCTACCCTGCAGGTCATCTGTCCCCCCTCCACGCCCCACCCACCCCCAAAAAAAAACTTACATTACCTTTTGGTTCCAAAGAGACATGTATCAGTAACTCTGTACTCCTGTCCCCAATTGCAATATACACAGTATTCTAAATAAATTTGGTTTTGCGGCCTCAACTGTTCCAGAAATATCAAAACCACAACATACTTAAATGCTATGACAATCATTGCTATAAATATCCTACACGTTTCCCCTCCCTCCACCGAAAACATTTCAAGAAGAAAGATGTCAGAAATGAGGAAAAAAGTTGTGAATGCCAAGAGAATGCTGATAAAAAATGAGAAGAAACATGTCCATGCTTGAGAATGGCAAGGCAATCTTTTTCTAGTAGACCAATTGAAAGCCCAAGATTTAACATTTTGAGTGGACTTCTATCATCACAATGTTGTGAAAATGCAACCTTAAAAAGCCACTGATCGAACTAAGAGAACGAGAACAATTTCAAAGAAACAAAGAGAAAAACTGATATCCATGTAAATGAGCTTTACAAACTATATCTGAGCACATTTTACTGTTGCAGAGAGAAGGTAGCTCCACTTTATCGAAGAGTCAAGCTACTTCTTGCCTAATTAATATGTTCATTAACACTTAGATACCTTACGAACTGCATTGAAGTGCATCTTTCCCTGTTATGGGGAAGAGGCTCAATAAGTGACCTTTACATAAGGCTAACACTATGGCTTTGCCTAATTAAGCACACAAAATTAACACTTAAAGGAGCTTCACGGCAACGTTTCAGCACAGATTTCCCTATTGTAGAAGAAAGGCCCAGTAGGTCCCCTTATACAAGAGCCAAG